AAGTGCCATCTTCTCCTCCTCCCTTCTTCACGGCAGCGTTCTTCCCTCTTGAGCTGGAACATGACCTCAGAATCCTTCTCAACACAATGTTCCTGGCAGTTACTCTGGTCCAAAAGACTTGGCATTGGTGTTTAAATCTACCAGTCATCTTTAATTGCTTCTGGAAATTTTCATTCCTACAGAATCTCTGGGTATAATTCTTTACTTCATAGGAATAAATACCATCTATTTATTCCAATCATCTCATCTTTTGACTGTGTACCTTACTGGACTATGAGTTTCTCTAGGGTGAGAACTATCTCTTATCCATTTTTGTATCCCCAGGGTGCCTGGCTCAGTACACTTTCAAGAAATGTTTTATCAATAAGTGAATCACCTACATTAGTCAAGGTCAAGTGGCTATCAAAGTAACTACTTCCCCGATAGCTGGTTATGCTGTGGACTGCTTACACTGAGGACTAAAGGGAGGCCTCATTTGGTGGGGAGTCACAGGAAAATAAGAGGGGTGCAGGAAGAGCACTGGAGCACTGGTGGTACACAAAGGCCCTGGTTAGTCCACAACTGCCTACACGTGTTTAAGTAACTGACACAGGAAACTGGCTACCAGGTGATGAGGAAAGGGCACTCTGAGTAGGTTTTTCTGAAACTCTAGCCATTTTCCTTTTTTTTTTTTTTGGAGGAAGATTGGCCCTGAGCTAACATCCGTGCCCATCTTTCTCCACTTTATGTGGGACACCTGGTACAGCATGGCCTGACAAGCAGTGGGTAGGTCTGCGCCCAGGATCTGAACACGCAAACCCCAGGCTGCTAAAGCGGAGCGTACGAACTTAACCACTATGCCACCAAGCCAGGCCCCCCATTTTCCTTCTTTTGAGCAAAGGTCCAGGTCCTGGGTTAACGGCTCAGTGTTTTCTGAGTTCTAGGGAGATGTGCAGATGACTGATTCATATTTCATGGATATGAGTGTGGCTGAAGGAAGACTGTGATTATGCTCCCCCTGATTCAATGAAGCCAGCCTATTCTCTCTTTTTTTTAAATTTTTTTGTGAGGAAGATCAGCCCTGAGCTAACATCCATGCTAATCCTCCTCTTTTTGCTGAGGAAGACCGGCTCTGAGCTAACATCTATTGCCAATCCTCCTCCTTTTTTTTCCCCAAAGCCCCAGTAGATAGTTGTACGTCATAGTTGCACATCCTTCTAGTTGCTGTATGTGGGACGTGGCCTCAGCATGGCCGGAAAAGTGGTGCGTTGGTGCGCGCCCAGGATCTGAACCTGGGCTGCCAGTAGCGAAGTGCGCGCACTCAACTGCTAAGCCACGGGGCCGGCCCGAAGGCAGCCTATTCTCATTGATTTGTTTCTATAAGTAGATCTTATAAATTAATACTGATATTGCTTATACGTTTTAAATATTTTGATTCCATTGAAAATTTTGTTTTAAAAAAAGCTATGACTGCTAAAAAGAAAAGTTTGAAGAGCACTGCCTTAGCTAGTTCGCACAAGTTCCATATTTACCTCTTTACAATAACCAAAATCTCAAAGCGTGATTGTGAAGAAAGATGAAGGAAAATTATTCCCAGATGTTTCTTGCTGCTCAAAGAGCAGGCTGAGGTATGAGTAGATCAGGTTGAGTCTTTCTGAGCAGGCTGACCGTTTTGAGGACAGCTTCCCTCTCCCCACCAGCCCCAATCCTGGGCTAGATGCACACTGAGGAAGGGTCCCTGCATTCACATTTCCACGTGATACAGTCTCGGAGATGCTGTGACTAAATGCACATGGTATTTTTGCGGAACGTCTCTCTTCGACCTTGCTGCCTATCTACTCACTGTGGTCAGGAGGGCTGGGCCCCACAGAAATAAAAAGGCTCCCCTCTCTTCTTCAAGTCTGGAACCAGTCCTAAGCAGTCTCTCAGAAAGAGAACAGAAAAGAGAAGAGGAGAGAAGCAACACTTGTCTCTTTTCCACTCAAAACATTTGTGGATTTCTTCTCTCGTTACTCTAATTTGCTTCCCTGCTCCCCTCTGTTCAGTGACACCTGGCGGTGGGGGCAGCTGAGAGGGTGCCTCACAGACTTTGTAATGGGAACCAAGGTTCAAATCCCCAGGTAGGCCATTTCTCAGTAATCTGACTTTAGACGGATTTAATTATCAGAATTAAAGTGTCTTTATTTGTAAAATGGGAGATAACAGCATAGGATTAGATGTTAAGAAATGGTCAGCATCTAGCCGGTGTTCCATAAATGACACCGTCCATTATCATCCTGGCATCACACTGCTTCTGCAGCCTTTCCTAAAATATCACTGTGTGTCAAGCAGGACGCATCTCTACCTGGAGGACTCTGAAGTGTGTGTGTACGTGTACAGGGGGTGGGGTGGGGTGGGGTGGGGGGTTGGCACCCAGGTAAATCACCGGCGAGGCTTCAGCACTTATCTCCACCCCCCAGGCCTGTTGACCAAAAGTCACACTCCCAGGGCCGGCCCCGTGGCTTGGTGGTTAAGTGAGTGCGCTCCACTGCTGGCGACCCGGGTTCGGATCCCGGGCTCGCACCGACGCAATGCTTCTCCGGCCATGCTGAGGCCGCGTCCCACATACAGCAACTAGAAGGATGTGCAGCTATGACACACAACTATCTACTGGGGCTTTGGGGGGAAAAATAAATAAATAAAATCTTTAAAGGAGTGTTTTTCTCTGAGCAGTTACAAAAATCGTTTATTTGCTGGGGTAGGGGAGGAG